AGGGTCAGTTATATCATTTATTCAATCCTGCTATGTCTAATATTCAAACTAGCTTTGAACCTCCTGTGAGGATCATTACAGTGCACTAATATTTTTAATATGAGAGGAAAATTTAGAATTAACCCTATACCAAGTAAAACAGTTTGTATTCAAACTTCTTAAGTAAATAGCAAAAATTAAGCAAGTTCAACAAAAGCAAACCTGTGACCAGGGGTGGGCTTCAAAAATTTTAGCAAGGGGTTCTCTGCCTGGTTGCTGGGTGGGTGTGAGAAACGAAAAACTCTCATACAGAAACAAGGAAACCATGAACAATAAAAAGCATATTTATTTATAATACAATTGTATATATCATATTTTTCAGAGTATAAGATGCACCAGAGTATAAGACACACTAAGATTTTGAAGAGGCAAGCAAAAAAGGGCCTGTTTTTCACAAAAATGGGACTGGTTTTTGTCCAAAAAAGAGAGCATGCATAGCCTTTAGGAGGCTTATAGAGTGCTCCTGGTAGCTGGGGCAAAATTGAGCAAAAATGGCCCATTTTTTGCTCATCTCTGCCCTCCGCAGCCCCTAGGAGCACTCTGAAAGCCTCATAAGGCTATGCCCAACTATTTTGGTGAAGGGGTCGGGGTTTTGCGAGGCAAAAATGCTGTATTCAGATGCAATTTTCAGCCTCTTTTTTGAGGGAAAAAGATACATCTTATACTCCAAAAAATATGGTAGGTGTTAGATCAGGTAAAGGAGGCACACAATGGCTTCAGTAACAACTGCTCTTTATTGCATGTGAAGTAAACATCAAGCTTGGGCAGCATTCCCTTTTAAAGGGATCTGTCAGACCTCTTAACCAATGGGATTCCACATCTCTTCCCGCCGGAACAGAGTACCTTGGTGGAAACCTCTGCCAGTCTGTCAGCAGGGGGGAATATCTAACACTCCTCCCCTCTAGGATGGAACAATCTAACTGGTGACGTAGTCACGTAGGTAGGCAGGCCTTTGTGCAGCTCTGCCTGACCTGTGGAATTCAGTGTTGGTGTTTCCTTCGAATAAGTCAGACGGACCTGTTGTTTCCGCAGATCTGCCCGATGGAATCTCCTGGAACCTTTCACAGGCCGTGGCTGGAGCTTCTGGAGTTAACTCTCTCAGAGCTCGCTGTGGGCCTGCATCGAAGTCAGATAAGTCTTCTGATATTCTTGGGCTTGATTTGGACTTGGAAGGACTGTTATTTTTTGTGCAGTTTTGACTGGTTTGTGCAGGAATTACTGTTGGTTGTCTAAGCACCGAGTTGGACATGCGGTTATGGAGTTGAACTATATGCCTTCTCCAATTCTTACTGTCCTCGAGTTCTACTGTGTATGATCGAGGACCAGTAATTCCAATTACGGTCGCAGGAATCCACAATGTTCCCTTGGTGTAGTTATGTGCATATACCGAATCTCCTATGGTAAAAGACCTAACCTTGTTTGTGGAGTCAGGGGGTGTTGAGGTGGAATAATTTGGATGTAGCCAGTCTAAGTGAGACCTTAGGTGGCGGCCCATGAGTAATTCAGAGGGGCTTCTCCCAGTGGTAGCACTGGGTGTGATGCGTTGAATTAGTAAATAGTGGTCAATTCATGTTTGCCAATCACCTGGGCCCATCCTATTGAGGACCTCTTTTGCAGATCTTACCATTCGTTCCACCTGACCATTGGGGGCTGGATGGAATGGCGCAACCAGGGCATGCCTGATTCCCTGAGATGCTAGGAAGGTCTCGAATGGCATGGCCCTGAATTGGGGGCCATTGTCAGAGACTAGGACATCAGCAGGCCATGCGTGGAGAAGAACCTCCGTAGTACCTTGATGACCGATTCCGCTGTAGTGGAATTCATCAGGACTATTTCTAACCATTTTGAATAAGCGTCCACAACTATGAAGAACATTTGACCATGAACTGGTCCAGCGAAGTCAATGTGTACTCTGGATCATGGTGCTTGTGGTCACTCCCACTCCTTGGTGGGCACTTCTGGGGGAGCCGGTCTGGACTCCTGACAGGGCGTGCATGTAGCCACCCATTCTTCAATCTCCCTGTCCATGTTAGGCCACCAAACGTAACTCCTTGCTAGAGACTTCATTCTCACAATCTCAGGATGCCCCACATGTAATGCTTCAAGGACTGCAATGTACAATTGGTTGGGAATTATTACCTGGTTCCCCCACAAGAAACACCCGTTAATAACCGACAGTTCATCCCGTTTGGAAAAATACATTTTGAAATCAGCACCAATAGGCCCCTTGGGCCACCCCCTCCACACCCAGTTCAAAATTTGCTTTATTATGGGGTCCTTTTCAGAGTGGCGTGCAACATCACTAGATGAGACGGGTCCGGTTTCCAGGCAGTCAATGAGGAGGACCAACGTCTCAGGGATGGGGTCAGCGAGAACTTCAGGCAGTGGGCAGCGGCTCAAGACATCCACATTCTCTAAAGTGGAGCCCAGTCGGTGGATGAGGCAGTAGGAATAGGCTACTAAAAAAATTGTCCACCTGGTCATTTGGGGGGATAATGATACCAGAGTGGGGTGATCCCAAGCCAGTAATCCCAACAACGGTTTGTAATCCATAATCAGTTCGAAATCCTGGCCGTAGAGATATTCGTGGAATCTCTTTACTCCGGCTACTGCAGCCAAAGCCTCACTATCCAGTTGGCTGTAGTTCTGCTCTGCGGGGGATAACTCCTGGAGTAAAATGCAATGCGGGCTTCGGTTCCGTTGGGCTTGCGGTGATTGAGGACAGCACCGACACCAAAAGGGGAGGCATCACAGGTCAACACCAAAGGCAGTGTCTGGCTGTATTGTACTAGGAAAGAATCTGCTAACAAGAGTCGTTTTACTGGGCAAATGCGGCGGCCTTGGTTTTGCCCCAGGACCATTTCGCGTTCTTGGCTAGGAGGTGATGTAGTGGCTCAGCAACGGTGGCTTTTTGTTTGAGAAAGACGCTGTAGAAATTAAGGAGCCCGAGGAACACCTGCAGTTCGGTCTGATTGCGAGGTGTGGGGGCATCCTTAATAGCTTTAATTTTTTGTGGGGTCGGGTGGATCCCAGACCCATTGATCATGTACCCTAGGAATTCGACTTTTGGTACATTAATTTGACATTTTTCTTTTTTGAGGCGGAGACCCTTGTCTCTGATTTTAGCCAAAACTGTTCGTACGCGTTTTAAAAGTTGTGCTTCATTTGCAGCTGATACCAAGATGTTGTAGAAATAGGGGACGACTCCTGGAATCCCCTGCAAAAGTCATTCCATGACGCTTTGGAACAGTCTGGGGGCGATACTAACACCAAATTGCATGCGATTGCATTTAAATGCACAATGGTTTGGGCCTCTGTGGTAGCGCCATCTACTAGCAATTGTTGGTATGCCTGCGCCATATCCAATTTTGCAAAGATTTTTCCTGGGCCGAGGGAACGCAATAGGTGCTGTACAATAGGTACAGGGTAAGCGTTTTGTTGCAGCACTTTATTAATTGTACATTTATAGTCTGCACAGATGCGAACAGACCCGTCAGGCTTGACAGGTGTCACAATTGGCGTCTCCCAGCGTACTCTAAGATGGCTCTAAGATGCCCTGGCTCACAAGTTTATCAATTTCTTTGTCAATTTTTGGGCGGAGAGTGAAAAGTACTCTCCTGGGTTTTAGCCTAATTGTGGCTATTGTGGGGTCTAAACTAAAGGAAATTGGAGTTCCTTTGCACTTACCCAGACTGGTGCCGAAGAAGTCCTTGAACTCCTTAAAGATGGCTCCAGTGGTGTCCTCCTCCATGAAGTTGACTCCGGTCACTTCCATCCCCAAAGCTCGGAACCAATCAAGCCCCAGTAGGCTCTGAAAGTTTCCGCTGACCACCGTCACGGGGAGGTTTTCGCAGAATTGCTTGTAGTTTACCCGGAAGGTGCCTTGGCCCACAATGGGGAACCTGGTTCCCCTGGTAGTCGCGCAGGCGGACGTCGGGGCTTCTGAGATGTCTTTTTTGTAGTTTGGGGATCGCTTGCTTTAGGACTGTCCATGGGATTATGGTTAGTGACGACCCAGTGTCGATCTCCATTTCGCATGGAGAGTCCTCGATGAGGACAGTGGCTTTCAGCTTTTTGGGGCGCCCGGGGCAATTTTGTGTGGCAGACGTGAGGTTGGTGATTCTATCATCACCTTCTGACTCCCGTGGGTACTTCTGCCAAGGCCCTGGTTTGGGTCGCTCTTTGCGGTTTTGAGACCCCTTAGGCTGTCTTGTGGCGGTAGGGAAATCTCTGCGGCACACCTTGGCAATCTCCCCCTTCGGCTCGCATCGCTGGCAAGTTGCTTCGCGGAAACGGCAGGATGATTGGACATGGTCTCCTCCACAGCTGATGCAGGGTGGAACTTGTGAGTTGAATTTTCGCGCTGGCTTTGTGTGGCTACTGTGCATGCAGTAGCTGTCTTCCTCCTTGCTTCCAGAGCTCTCGGGTTCTGTAGTCTTGTGATGTACGCGGGTACTTTTCCACGCGTTCAGAGGTGCGCTGTGGCGCTGGAGTGTTTCCATCGACTTGACAGCTGATTCGGATGCTCTAGCTTCGTCTAGTGCGATCTGCAAAGAGAGATTGGATTTAGGAAGTAGCCTCCTCTGCAAAATGATGTCTCGCACATCGCAAATTATGCGATCCAGGATCAGCTCGTCCAGCTCACAGAACTCACAGTAGGCTGAGGCTTTTCGAAGCGCCGCCACATACTCATTGATTGATTTGCCCTCCATCTGGTTCCGAATGTTGAATTGATGCCAGCAGATATATTTGGACAGCTTGGGCACATGGTGGGTCTTCAGCGTTTGTTGTAGTGCAGACTAGGACACTGCTTGGAGTGGGGTTGGTTCCGAGAGGTTTTCCGCCATTTTGAACACTTCCCGGCCACAGTAACCAAGGAACATGTTCTTTTTACGGGCTTCTGGAACATCCGTGAGATTGTTCGCTTCCAGGAAACACTCGAATCGTAGCATGTATGATTCCCAGTGTTCGGTGGCTGGATCATACGGAGTTGGTGGGGCATGCATAGCCATTCTGATTCTATCTGGTTGTTCCGCGATGGCTTGCTCGATGCCGCACAGGATGCTCCGGGTTGGATGTACTTGTAAGGCTTCGTTTGCTCTTTTTGTTAGCCTAGTTGCCTTCCAATCCCACCTTCATTGCCAGGGTAAAGGAGGCACACAAAAGCTTCAGTAACAACAGCTCTTTATTGCAAGTCAGGTAAACATCTGGCTGGGAATGGTTGGGCCGCATCCTCTTTTAAAGGAATCTGTCAGACCTCTTAACCAATGGGATTCCTTGGTGGAAACCTCTGCCAGTCTGTCAGCGGGGGGGGAATATCTAACAGTAGGCTTTTGCAAAAGGATTCTCAATCATGAAAGATAGAAAGAGAATGTCAGATAAATCTGAATACATGGTTTAAATACATTTTGGAGTAATAGTCCAACCCCCTTAGGCATCCGTGTTATATAACCTTTTGGCTACTAGGCAAACAATTTCTAGACCAAAAATTTCCTTGTGGGATTCACCTCATCCTCTTTCACCATAAGAGGACATAGTACGGCGATACCAAGACAATCAATCCCATTATGGCAGTTTCCTGCAACTGATACTGGCTGATTCCAGTAATGTCAGGCTAACCTGGCCTGGAATTTCTCAATCAACTTTATAGCCTTGTTTTTCCCCTAAATGAACCCTTTACATAAGGTCTTATTTTAATGTGTTACAAAGGTGCTGCTTGAGTTATGAAAAGTATGAATAAGGAGTCACTCAGATTCTTTTCTTTTTCAAGAATAACCCCATTTCTCTCAGTGGACGTGGCCATGATGGGTGTGGCCTAGTTGGCCTTCTGCACCACGGCAGGGGGGGTTGCCCTCCCAAGGCTCTGGGGGCTTTCCTTGAACCTCCAGGAAGGAGAAAATGGCCTCCTCAGGCTCCAGAGGCCATCTGGAGGCTGAAAATGGGCCTGTTTCTGGCCTACCTGAACTTCTGGTAGGCCCATTTTTCACCCTCCCTGAGCCTCCATGCGCGTCCTGCACTTACCTGCATCCAAAACGGGCCGCGTGAGGACTCCTAGGAGGGGAGGGGCCAGCCAGGAGTGGAATTCGGTGGTTCTCTGAACTCCACAGAATCTTAGCTGGATGTTCTCCGGAAACCCTGCAAACCCCCAGCAGCCGACCCCTGCCTGTGACTCTCTGTGGCTGACAGCTGACAGAGCTTACTGACACACAAACTCTCTAAATGTTTTTCCTTCCAGCATTTTCGAACACTCGTGAGTTTTCAGCCAGCTTCTAGAATGACAGGAAAAATAGGTTGTATAAAATGTTTCTGCTTAATCATCAATGAAACAGAGGATGAAAAAGTAATACTCCTAGCAACAAACCTCCAATGACAATTAGATGAGATAGAGCTTTTTATATCTCTTTGATAACATCTAAATGTTCTCTGGACTTTCGTAGTGCAGATATGACAGCCCTATAAAGAGACCCTATTCAACTTCATGAAGCATTTTTTTTACAACCTTTCACTCTATCCTGTGTAAATCCATCCAGGCCTGTGAAACAAGAATAAAAATAAATCTTTTTTTAAAAAAGAAAGCCCAGACTGACCGGTTATAGTTGAAAAACCTTTTGAAATATTTGTCTCTTATAACCAAGGCATGGAAATAAAGATTTGTTCTAGATGACTGAGAGACAGCAGAACCATCCTCTTGTAAACTCATTAAGTGCACTGCCTTGAAAAATAAATGAGATGTAAAATGTTCTCTGAATACTTGACACGGAAAAGGATACTAAATGGAATGCCAAGGACTGCATAGTTCTTCTACAACATGTTTTCTTTTTGGCCAAAACCCCAGATTGTTCTGTTTCTTACATTTGGGGCCATTCAGTGAACTATGTGGTATGCACTTTTAAGGGGGGCAGAAATGATTGATGCATTATTATGCCTGTCCTGACAGTGCTATAGACATACTTAATAAGATTTCCATTGACTTCTCCTGAGATACAATTTAAGACTTTTATTTTCAGTATATTTTTAGCCTGCTCATATAGCCAATGTATCTATGTATGATGGAAGAAAAGAGCAAAAACAGCATAACTCATGCTCCAGTCTACAGAACTGAAGTGTATTCAGAAGTCAAATTCGGCTTTCAAATGCCCATTTCATAAAGAATAGTTTTTGAAATTTGATGAATATGATGTTTGATGAATACTTTTGAAATTTTATGAAAGTATGTAGTTTATCTAGAAAAGCTAAATGTCAATTCATACACTGGATACATTTCTTATGTACACGGTTTAATCCTGTTGCCCTCACTGTCTCTCATACGCCAGAGGTGTTAAAAGTGTTAAAATAAATAAAGGCATTGAAATAAATACATATTTCATGTATTTATCTATTTATTTCATCCATGTCACTTCAATTATACCAATACAACTGTAATCAGCCTATAGCAGAGGTGTAAAACTTGATTTCATTGAGGGCCGCATCAGGTTGTGTTTGACCTCGGGAAGCCAGGATGGGCATCGCCAACTCAATGTCACTCGTGTCTGGGGTGCCTGTGGTGGCCCGATCACTCTGCCAGTGAAAACAGGCTCCCGAGCTCCATTTTTGGTTGCGATGGCCTCCTGCAACCCTCTGCCAGTGAAAACAGGCTCCCGAGCTCCATTTTTGG